CTTTCCCTCATCAGCTTCCTCACAGCAGCCACCTCTTCCCAATTTTTTGATTCTGTGTACATATTAGCTAACATTACATATGGTGCAGCATTTGAAGGTAGAATCTTGATGAGCTGGTTGGCCGCTTTCTTTGCTAGCTCTATGTTCTTATGTTTTCTGCAAGCACCGAGTAAGGCGGCCCAAGGGACATGGCCTGGCTTGAATGGCATTGTCTCTATGATTATCTCAGCCTCCTCGAGCTTCCCTGCTCGGCCTAGAAGATCGATCATACAAGAATAATGCTCGAGTTCTGGTTCAATCTTGAACTCCTCCTTCATCATGTTGAAATACTTTTGACCCTCTTCGACTTTCCCACAGTGTGCACAAGCAGAAAGGATGGAAACAAAGGTTATGTTGTTCGGGGCAGAACCTGAATCCAGCATTTGTTGGCATAGAAGCAGGGCTTCTGCTCCTCGTCCATGTTGGGCATAACCAGCAATCATAGAATTTACTGATACGATATTATGTTCCGGCATACAATCAAATACCTTTCTTGCATCTCGGAGGTTTCCGCATTTGTAGTACATGACAACCAAGGCATTGTTTACTGAGATTTCGTTCGATGGGATATGTGATTTGATCACTAACCCATGAATCTGCTTCCCCTGAGACAGCGACAGGTTGGAGCATGCACTAATCACACAAACAAAGCTGCCATCATCAGGACGATGTCCAAACCGTTGCATCTGTCTGAAACTCTTCACGGCCTCTTCAGAGAGTTCCTCGTTTAACGAATACCCAGAAATCATAGTGTTCCAAAGAATCAAATCTGGTGAAGGAATCTCTTCAAAGACCTTTTCTGATTCCGACATCCCTTTACGACCACCGCACTTTGAGTACAAATCAATCAGACCGCTGCCCACGTGGGAATTCCGATGAAATCCAGTCTTGATCAACTTACCATGGAACTGACTGCCACTTACCAAATCGGCCAAGCTCGTGACTGCACTTAAAACGCTCGCCAATGTAAACATGTCGATTTCTAATCCCTTCCCTACCATCTCCCTGTACAAAGCCAAAGCCTTTTTCCCTTCCTTGTGTTGCCCATAAGCAACGATCATCGAATTCCATGAAACTTCATCTCTTACCTCTTCATCCATCCCATTAAACACCGATATCGCCTCGTTCAGAAACCCATTTTTGCTGTAGTAAGTAAGAAATGCATTATTCACCGAAGCATAAGAATCGAAACCGCCAGAGATGGCGATGCCGTGTAGCTGCCTGACCAGACAAACCTTGTCACGACAAGCTGCTATTAACCCTGATAGAGTATACCCATCTAATTCGAAACCCAATTCTCTCATTCTCTTGAACAAGATCATCGCCTGAACAGATTCCCCAGCGTCGGCGTAGCCCGAGATAAGCGTGTTGTAAGAAACGACGTCAGGTTGTGGAATTTCATCGAACAGCTTGCGGGCAATATGGATTTTCGATTCTTTCGCATACGCTGCGATTATGGTGTTGTAGGAGAATACATTGGGTTCGTATGTGGAGTCGAAGGCAGCGCGTGCGGCGACGAGGAGACCGCATTTGGAGTAGAGAAGAACGAAGTGATTGGAGAGGTAAGTCGAAGGAGAGAGGAGAGATTTCACGTAAAGCGCGTGAAGGGACTTTCCTGTGAAGAGATCTCTCTCCGCTATGCATTTCTTCAGGACGTCTCGAAATGATTTGAGCGTCCATGGCGTCTGGTTCATCTAATGCTCGATAATCTCTCGCACTCGCATGTTTTGGTTTCTCCCAAGATTCAAAATTTTCTCTTTTTTTTCCTCTCCTCATTTTTTTTATTTGAACCGAAACGGCCAAGCCAATATGGGCCTCAGCCTATTTTTTGAGTAATGGGCCTGAGCCCAATTATTCAACCTAATGAACCTGAGCCCATTTAGTTGGACTAATGGGCCTTCGGTAACTGAACCATTGAGACGCTGATCCGTGCTGGTGTATATGAGATCAGGTACTTAATGAAACTTGAAGAAAAGTGACTAATATATATTTTAATATTTGGCCAAGTTATAAGAAAGTAATGGATAATAAAATACGAATATATATATATATATATATATATAATATGATATTTTACAAGTTTACAACGCAATGCCAGGCGGATAAAGAGTGGGCGAATCAAAGCTTAGCCCACGTTAATAAATGGAACAAATCAATGATTGTATATAATACCAAAACATATATAATTTAGAGGGAAAAGCTAACTTCTCGCTGTGATGTCCTAACCTGATCTCCTTTTCCCCTTCCATGGCCTCGGGAAAGAGATTTAATGGGTCCAACATTTTCATTTTTTTGGGTGTTAAGCGAATGGAAGGGGACAATAATAAGTCCATAGGAAGAACATGAACAGTAGAATGGCAAAAAATGAAACATCACGTTGGTTGTCGTTTAAACAATTAAATCGCCAAAAAAAAATGTTTTTTTGTGGGTCTCATAACCTTGAGGCTTTTCACATGCCTTCTTAACCCTCTTTCTACTACATATCCATGCATGTGGTTCCCTCACCTCATCCCCTGTTTTTTTTTTATAAAAAAAAAATCTTTTAGTTTTATTATGACCATGCACTGATTTTAAGTTTAATACGTTGTAAATTTGTAATGTTACATCCGGAATGAAAATGTGAGGTATATATGCATCACATAGATGATGATCAACAGTAATCCATGATTGGATTCACGTTAATCAAATAATCCACAATAGATGATGATGGTCAATCAATAAGGTTATAGTATTTATTTTGTAGAGATGAAATACAAATACCAATTAATCGGCTAATATAAATATCTTAAAAATAGTGAAAAAACCAAATCTAAATGTATGATTAATACTGAGATATATGGTTTGTTGAAAATGATTTCACATGCCTCGATCTTATATATAAATATTTGAAGATATTATGACAAATGTTATCATGTAACATTATTAGGATTTGTTAAACAATGACCCATTGTCTCGCACTGAAAAAAAATCATAACGACTCTTTGATTATTCGGAAATTTGATCCTATATCGATACTCGTAGGTGGCTGTGTATCAACGAACTGATATTTTGTACAATTTTAAAATAATCAGAATAATTATTATCGTTAGAAATAATTATCTACAAAGAATATTCCATGTTTATTTAATTAGTTCAAACGAACAACGTCCCCGAAAAATATGGGGCCATGACCAACGGCTACCAATGTACGTATATGTGTATGTAATGGTCCTACGTTTTATTATTTTTGTGAATGTATGTATAATGTATATGTATACATGTGTACAGTGGGTTTGATTTAAGCAACCAGAACCAGTCCATTTCCTCCAAAGATTTGCTGTCGGTTTTGGCTATACATTTACATTATACATATGCATGGGAATTAGCTTGAAATATGTAAAGCGAGAAATGTTATGGTGTAAAAAAAATGGCTGAAAAGTATTCGGGTATATATATGTAAACAAGAATGCATTTTATATATATATATAATTTATTTAATTAGACTATTTTGTACAAAATATATTAATTTATTAGATTCGATCGATCTTCTTCTCATATACATGTTTTGAATAAAAAGATAAATCCTAAAATTATTTCTTTCATATATTTTCTAAAATGATGACTAAATCTATAATCATGAACCGCATGCTAGAATATAAGTCATGATATAATGTGCTCAATAAACAAAAACAAAAAAAAAATATCTACAACACACAAATATTTTTTTTTTTATTTCACTAAATCTTTAACCCAACTATATCTTATGGAGAATGGGTGAAACTCATATGAATGTTTTCCTCTAAGTGATGACTTAAACCTAAATTGAAAAAGAGTTTTACTTCTTTATTTACCGGTTGAACGACCCAATGTTGGATAACACAGAGAGATTTATTTGTTTTAATGTGCGAACACATAATAATAATATTGAAATGAATGTTCAATAATGGATCTTTTCCACAAAAATTGTTAATTTAAAATAATGTTTAGATTTGGTGAAGATTATCTAGTTATATAAGCTGCCAAATTTATTAGTGATATTAAAAAATTATACAATATTCGACGTTGTCTCTCACATGACGGGGACGAATTTCTAGCGTACTGAGACATGTCATGTCTGGGGGCAGTCGAAAGGACCTTTAGTTTCTTATTCTGATGTCAACTTTTTTTGTAACCTTCTTAAAATTGTCACATGAAGCTGTGTGTGTGTGTATATATATATATACACCCCTCCATACCATGCATCTCTGCACTCCACATCTCTCTCTCTCTCTCTCTCTCTTCTCCAACAGAACCCTAATTCAAGATTTCTCTCTCTCCCTCTCTCCGCCTCTCTCATAACCTGCTTATTACAATTGGAAAGAAGAGATATTTAACAGGAAATGAAACAGCTTTCGACAAAAGTGACGAGCAATGCCCATGGGCAAGATTCCTCCTACTTCTTGGGATGGCAAGAATACGAGAAGAATCCTTACGACGAGACCAAGAATCCTCAGGGGATTATCCAGATGGGTCTCGCTGAAAACCAGGTAACTAATCCAAGGACGAAGAACAACAAAAATTAAGATCGGAAAAAAATTTAAACTCTATATTTTATAATAAGATTGTTTATATATCTATGCATATTTGTGCAGCTATGTTTTGATCTCATCGAGGAATGGTTAGCCAAAAACCCGGACGCAGCATCGTTCAAGAGATCAGACGGCCAATCTGTCTTCAGAGAGCTTGCTCTCTTCCAAGACTATCACGGCCTTCCTGAATTCAAGAAAGTATGTTTATTCACATATAATCAGTGCTTACATGTATATATATATATATAACAGAGTTTGATTAATTTGTTTTGATAAATATTCTCATGATCAGGCTTTGGCCGAGTTCATGGAGGAAATAAGAGGAAACCGAGTGACATTCGATCCAAGCAAGATCGTCCTGGCCGCTGGCTCGACCTCCGCCAACGAGACTCTCATGTTTTGCATCGCCCAGCCTGGGGACGCCATTCTCTTGCCTACCCCTTACTACCCCGGGTACGTATTTTCTCATTTTACTTGATTTCTACGTAAACCCATGCATGCATGGAACCCAAAAGCTGAAAATTCTGTCTCATTTCGTAATACAGATTCGATAGAGATCTGAAATGGAGAACCGGAGTGGAAATCGTGCCGATCCTCTGTTCAAGCGCCAATGGCTTTCAGATCACTGAGTCAGCTCTCCAACAAGCTTACCAACAAGCTCACAAGCTCGATCTAAGGGTTAAAGGAGTTCTCGTCACCAACCCTTCTAACCCACTTGGCACTACCCTCACCAGACGAGAGCTTAACCTTCTCCTCGACTTCATCACTTCTAAAAACATCCATCTCATAAGCGATGAGATTTACTCCGGCACTGTTTTTGGATCTGAATTCGTGAGCGTTATGGATGTCTTGAAGGACAAGAAACTGGAGAACACCGAGGTTTCCAAACGAGTTCATGTCGTTTACAGCCTGTCCAAAGATCTCGGGCTTCCGGGTTTTCGCGTTGGAGCAATCTATTCCAACGACGAAATGGTTGTCTCAGCTGCCACGAAGATGTCAAGCTTTGGCCTTGTTTCATCCCAGACACAGTATCTACTCTCTGCAATGCTTTCAGACAAGAAATTCACAAGAACATACATTGACGAGAACCAGAAGAGACTGAGGATTCGTCAAAAGCGCCTTGCCTCAGGCCTCGAAGCCGCAGGGATTACTTGCCTTAGAAGCAACGCTGGTTTGTTCGGTTGGGTCGACATGAGGCATCTTTTGGACACGAACACGTTCGAGGCAGAGTTCGAGCTGTGGAAGAAGATCGTGTACGAAGTGAAACTGAACATCTCACCCGGTTCTTCGTGCCATTGTACCGAACCGGGCTGGTTTAGGGTTTGTTTCGCCAATATGAGCGAAGAGACGCTCGCTTTGGCCATGAAGAGACTGAAAGAGTACGTAGAATCAACCGACAGTGGCCGGTTAATGTCACGAAGCAGCCATGAGAGGCTCAAGAGTTTGAGGAAGAAGACTGTCTCCAACTGGGTTTTCCGGGTTTCATGGACCGACCGTGAACCCGATGAACGGTAAATTATTTATTAATTTATCGTCCCGGTTTCGGAGACATATACTTTCCGGATTTTTCCTTTATATATATATATATCCTTCATTTTTTTTATATTTTGGAGAATAACACTCAATCCGAAGGTGGATTTTTTATACTTCTCCAAAATATGTGTGGCACAATTTATAATATATATGTACACATTATATATCGGTGAGTTTTTTTTCTTCTGCAATTTTCCACGAGTAAGTGTGTTGTTATATTATCGTAGAGAATAGCACTCAATCCGAAGGTGGATTTGAAGTGGCCGTACATGTCTGTAATAACGACGAAAAATTTGCATGTACATGTACCCATAAAGCAATGTAATAAACAAATATTTATATATATATATACACACTTCCATTTTACACAAATCGTATTTTTTTTGTGGTTAATGACGTTGATTTGTGGTCAATTTAATTAACACAGTTGGCGTCTGCGACACCACCCGGTTCTTCGTGCCATTGTACCGAACCGGGCTGGTTTAGGGTTTGTTTCGCCAATATGAGCGAAGAGACGCTCGCTTTGGCCATGAAGAGACTGAAAGAGTACGTAGAATCAACCGACAGTGGCCGGTTAATGTCACGAAGCAGCCATGAGAGGCTCAAGAGTTTGAGGAAGAAGACTGTCTCCAACTGGGTTTTCCGGGTTTCATGGACCGACCGTGAACCCGATGAACGGTAAATTATTTATTAATTTATCGTCCCGGTTTCGGAGACATATACTTTCCGGATTTTTCCTTTATATATATATATATCCTTCATTTTTTTTATATTTTGGAGAATAACACTCAATCCGAAGGTGGATTTTTTATACTTCTCCAAAATATGTGTGGCACAATTTATAATATATATGTACACATTATATATCGGTGAGTTTTTTTTCTTCTGCAATTTTCCACGAGTAAGTGTGTTGTTATATTATCGTAGAGAATAGCACTCAATCCGAAGGTGGATTTGAAGTGGCCGTACATGTCTGTAATAACGACGAAAAATTTGCATGTACATGTACCCATAAAGCAATGTAATAAACAAATATTTATATATATATATACACACTTCCATTTTACACAAATCGTATTTTTTTTGTGGTTAATGACGTTGATTTGTGGTCAATTTAATTAACACAGTTGGCGTCTGCGACACGTGTATATACACACACACGCATATATATATATATATATATATATATATATATATATATATATATGTGTGTGTGCGTGTGAGAGAGAGAGATATATGATGCATTGTCCTTTTGGCATATAAAAAAAGGAAACTGTTGGGCCTTAAGGCCCATTTAGTGGAAGAAAGAAAACCTTCTCCTAGAGAAGGAGGTTTCGGTTTTGACCGAAACGTGGCGTTTTCGATAAGGGTTAATCTTAACCCTATTGCTTCAAGTTCTTCAACACGCAAGAAGCGCGTGGCTCGAGGAGGTGAAAGAGGCGATGGGGAAGACCGAAAGAGGAAGAGATCGGAGGCGATCTCGGAGGCGATCTCGCCGGTGGAGCTCCGGCGGTGCGAGCCGAGGCTGAAGGTGAGTGACTCCGGTAAGGTTGGTCTCGACTCTCTTGTTTCTTGGGTGTATTCTGTTCTCTACGAACGTCACGGCGAGACCCCGGGTTGTGGTGTTCCGCCGGTTACTCTTTCCGTTCTTCCTCTAGTGGATTCGCCGGCACCGTCCGGCCGAGACGTAGTCCCGAGGTAACTCGGTAACCGAACTCGTAAAAACTCCGGTGTCTCTTTCGTTTATCGCACGTACGAGTGTCGGAGGGACTGTGAGAATCCGATATCCACTTCACAAAGTGGTATCAGAGCTCCGGTTTCGATCCAGGGAGCATCGCCGGTCAGGCGAGGTAAGTTAGGTTTTTCCGGTTTCAATTTTTTCGAGTCGAGTCTGTGTGAACGATTTAACCTTCTACTGAGTGTGCAAGGCGCAAGATCGGAGGTAGATCGGGACTCGAAAGAAGGATCTGAGGTCTGTGGTGTCGCCGGCGGGGAAGATTCGGAATCCGAAATCTCAGAGAGCTGATGCGGCCAAGACTCGTTTCGGAATCGGAAACCAGGTAAGTCCTTCGACTCGGTTCTATTATTTTTCCGCGATTTCTCCGATTTGAGTCCGAGTTTCAAAGGAAACTCGGTGAACTCGGCGGAGAAATGCTCGATTCCGGCGAAACTCGGTCCCGACTCGTCCGAGTTAGGGTTTGAGTGGAGGAATCGGGTGAGTCAACAACCGAGTCAACTCGGGTGACTCGGCGGCTAGGGTTTCCGAAAATTAGGGTTTTGGATTAAACCCGGTTTACACCGGTTTAATCGATCCAATTTCGGTTTAACCCGGTTTGGGTCAATCGAACCTGGTTCGATTCGATCCAAGTCCGGTTATCGGCGGTCAGATCGGGTTTGACCCGGTTCCGTCGGTTCAGACCGGATTCCGGCCGGTTCAGTCCGGCTCAGACCCGGTTCCGGCCGGTTCAGACCGGTTCACTCCGGTTCGGTCAATCCATTGACCAATTTGGTCAACAGTTGACCGGTTTAGGTCAAATCGGACCGGTTCAGGTCCGGTTTGGGGTCAATTGGACCGGTTTAGACCGGTTCAGGTCAATCTAGGTCCGGTTTAGGACTATTGAGTCCGGTTTAGGCTAATTCAGGTCCGGTTTAGGTCAATTGAGTCCGGTTTAGGGCAATTCAGACTAGTTTAGGCTGGTTTAGGTCTTGGTTAAGGTCTGATTTGTCTAGGAAGGGCTAGAATTATTCGGTTCAGACCAATAGGGTCTGTTTGGAGTTGAATTAAGGCCGGTTTAGACTGGTTTAAGTCTAAGGTTAGGGTCTGTTCGTCCAATTAGGCTAGAATTAGACCATATAGGTCAATTGGGTCCGTTATTAGGTAAGATCAGATTGGTTTTAGGCTGGTAGAGGTCTGTTAGGATCTGATTTATCTAGTTTGGGCTGGTATTGGTCGTGTTAGGGCCTGAGTTGGTGGTTCTTTAGGACTAGATTAGGCGGTTTAGGTCTGGAGTGTGAAATTAGGACTAGAACTAACTGGTTTAGGGTTAGGTTGGTCCATATAGGTCTGATGGTGTCTGGTTTAGGGCATAGTGGACTGATTGAGGGTAGATTAGGGTCTGTAGTGATCGGTTTACCCTGCTAGGTTGGTCTAGTACTCAATTTGGCTTGGTTTAGTGAAAATTCACTAGGGTTAGACCTGTTTAGATCTCGGTTTAGCTAATGTAGGTCATAGATTCCGGTTTCTGTTCAGTATAGGTCTGAATAGGTTGGATTTGATGACGTTTAGCTGGGTAAGAGGTCTGGGTAGACTAAAATAGGCTGGTATAGGTCTGAGATTGACTGGTTTAGGTCGGTATAGATCTGTAAGGGCTGTTTTGGGTCTTGGTTAGGTCTGGTTTAGCCAAATTTGAGTTAGTCTAGCTTAGTCTAGGTCTGATCAGTAGGAAATTAAGTCAAAATAGGCTTGGTTAGGTCTGATTAGAGGTTAAAATGTCTATAGAGACATTGTTTAGGTCTGATCAGATTAGTATCTGATTGTAGACTTAGGTATTGTCTAGTTTAGGACTAGATAGGACTCCTAAGTACCAGTTTTGAGTCATAGAGTCCGGTACATTGACCGGTTAGGTCTGATTAGGTGGGATTTGACTAAAACGGGTTGGTTTAGGGGTTGGTTATGTCTAGGATCACTAGGTATAGGTCTGTAGGGATCAATTTAGATCAGGGCAGGTCTGTAGGAGTTGGTTTTAGGC